CCCATTTAAGATTTAAAACTTGCCCCCCCTCACCGCCCAGGGGGCGGGGTGGGGGGTCTGATTTTAACGTCATTGTATGTCCCCCTCGGAATGACGAAATATCGATTCTTAACATTTTTTTCTTAGTGTGCTTATTTTTCGAGATATTTGAAAGTTTCAGGTTAAAAAAATCACCCTGTATTCCAAAATTTAACTGTAATTATTGTGAATTTTAATTATGTGTAACAGGATGAAGGTGCATATTAGTACAACCGGTGAGTTTTTTTAAATTAAATGAATATAGGAAGCAGTTTTGTTAATATACAGGGTGTCCCATTTTAAATGATCCAGTCAAATATCTCGAAAACTAAACCCAGTAGACAAAAATGTTTCAGACAAAAGTTGTTTGACTCGAAGGGGGACATAAGATGGTGCCATCGATTTGATCTTGGATGGTCCTCTGAAGGTCACGTGAAGGTCACCTTTAATTTTTTTAATGGAAACCCTTATTTCTCATTGCACATTATCTTCTTACAGATCATCTCGAGAGCTTTCCAAAACACTATAATTAAGTTACTTTTCGTTAAGTACTAGTTAAGTTATAACAGTGAAAAAGAATAAATATCATCTAAACTTTAGGGAATAAATATTAATATTTCTAAAAATGATGTTATTTATTTCTTTATGAATTATAAGAAATAGGGTTCCTAATAAAGTAAATGGTTGTATGTGCTATGATTATCACTGTGTAATTACTTTACACAATTTAATATTTTAATAATAAATTTTTGTACGTTAAATTCATAAATATAAAAGTTATTATTTGTAAATGTAATAATTATTTAGCAAAAAAAGTTTTGCTAAATAATTAAAAATTTCATGGAAGATACGGGCCTAATGTATTTGCCACGGACGCTCCTGAGGCTCAGCGTTACGCGCGTGATCGGCAGCTCGGGCGTAGAGTCTGGAGCGGTAGTGGGGGGACAGTAGGCGTCTCCTCAGAAATATGGCCGAAAAGGGCAACTGATTCCGAGCGCTGAACTTTATACTCACGCAACATTTTCTATTTTAATCGGTCCATCCAATCGGGATTGATCCAAAATGGCTGATGGTAAAGAATGATCTGTAAATGCGTAAATTTGTCTTAGTAGTCCAATATCAACCAGGATAGTAAATCTATCGGCTCTTACTTTATCTTGTAACTTAATGTACGTAAAATGCCGGATTATACTTTGAACGAAATTATCGATATTGTTCTGGTGAAGAGAACTTGGCACTTGAAGAATGCCATAATAATTATCGATAAGCAGCGGTATTGCACCGTAATCGATTTCCTCATAGACGACATCCAAATCATTGTACGATTTCCAGACTTGTATTGCGTCAACGACAAGGTCAACGTCAAAAATGACAAAGACGTCATATTAACGTACCAGAAAGGGATGTTCCAACAGTACTTGCCGTATTGGGAATGATAGCTATTAATCCACGCGTGTCAACGAGGCAAATCGAAAGAGAATTAGGTATTCCGAAATCAACAAGTCACAGAATTTTGACCACTCATGACTTCCATCCTTACCATATCACTTTAACACAACAATTAACACTCAATGATTTTCAACAATGACTAGAATTTTGTAGGTGGGCACAAATAATGTTAAATCGTGATCGAACATTTTTCAGATTTGTTTTATTTATTGACGAAGCAACTTTTTACAACACTGGACAATTAAATCGACATAATTCTCATTATTGGTCTGTTGAAAACCCACGTTGGTATAGAGAAGTTAATCATCAACATCGCTGGAGCCTCATTGTATGGTGTGGCATATTAAACGGAAACCTTATCGGCCCTTATTTCTTTGACGAAAATGTTAATGGTAATAACTATTTACACTTTCTACAACAAAGATTGCCGGCGTTGCTTGAAGATATCGATCTGGATACAAGACAACGTATGTTCTTTCAACAGGATGATGCGCCTGCGCATTGGAGTAGAAGAGTTAGAAACCATTTAGATCTCACATTCCCAAGTAGATGGATAGGACGCGATGGACCAGTGTCATGGTGTTCTAGATCTCCAGACTTGTCAAGCCTAGATTTCTTTTTATGAGGATTCTTAAAAAACCTAGTATATTCAAAAACACCCACAACAAGAGAGAATATGATGGAACGTATAACTCTTGCCTGCCGTAGCATTCCAAGAAATATACTTTTATCGACAGCTGACAGTTTTGAACGTCGAGTTCAATTATGTGTGGATAATAATGGACAGATATTCGAACACTTATTAAGATCATAATCATTTCACATGAAAACTAGATTCTGGTATGAATCGACCGGATCAGTCCCGATCTTGCTTTAATCGGCCGGATCACCTCCGATCTTGCTTTAGTCGGCCGGATCAGCCCCGATCTTGCTTTAGTCGGCCGGATCAGCTCCGATCTTGCTTTAGTCGGCAGGATCAGCCCCGATCTTGCTTTAATCGGCCGGATCAGTCTCGATCTTGCTTTGATCGGCCGGATCAGTCCCGATCTTGCTTTATAACTTAACTAGTACTTAATGAAAAGTAACTTAATTGTAGTGTTTTGGAAAGCTCTCGAGATGATCTGTAAGAATGTGCAATGAGAAATAAGGGGTCCATTTAAAAAATTAAAGGTGACCTTCATGTGACCTTCAGAGGACTATCCAAGGTCAAATCGATGGCACCATCTTATGTCCTCCTTCGAGTCAAACAACTTTTGTCTGAAACATTTTTGTCTACTGGGTTTAGTTTTCGAGATATTTGGCTGGATCATTTAAAATGGGACACCCTGTAGACTGAGATTTTGTATTTAGATCTTACAAATTTTGACTTGTTAAGAAGAGCCATTCACATGATTAAATGGAGAACTGCTAGAGGTTGACTAATTGCGCCTACATTCATAATAATTGCAGTTAAATTTTGGAATATTATGCTGGATGTTATACCACGAAGATGGCTGAAAAAAGCAGCCGAAACGTCAGAAATATATGTACAGATGAAGAATAAAGAAGAATTGTAACGTACATTAATAATAACTGTGTACTAGCTCTTAGTTGCCTATTGTTTTCGTAATATTGTCTATAATTTATCTTTGATAATTTTTTGTCCCAATTGTTAAACATTTATCTGTGTTTCATTCCAATATTGATGTTCTTTTAATGAGATGCAGGCTGGGTTCGGGGAGACGCTATTAGCGCTATTTGTGTTATTCCGTCTTCATCATCCATTAAATGTGAAACAAGTATAGTATGACGCAAATAGCGTTGATAGTGCGCTGCCCGAACGCAGCCGGAGGGAGCTCACTATGATAAATTAATCATTACGTACACTCAGAAGCAATGAGGTTGCGACACTTTTTTTTCGATGGGTTTCGAAATGCAGCTTACTCACCGAGCGATTGGTTCTTATTCATGAATTTACAAACAAGAACCAATCGCTCGATGAGTAAGCTGCATTTCGAAACCCATTGAAAAAAGTATCGCAACCTCATTGCTTCTGACCGTACAATATATAATATATTCGTAATAGTAATTTATGTCTCTGAAGAGGGCTAAAAAATGAACCGAAACATGTAAGCGCATTAATTTAATAAAGGGTTTTGTGTTACATTTGTATATTATTTTACGCAACGATTACCGCGCCTGACTTCTATTTGCCTGTTTTTCACTTAATTTCTTTTGATCAGTAAAGAGTCCTTGTGAATTAACGTATGTTTTATCATGTTTTATTTTATGCAACATTAAAGTAATATTATGCGATTCATTTTGGCAATAATCTACACAATTGTGTTATTTTTATTATTATAATTTTTAAAAATATTATCTATACATGTAGTCTTATTGACCAGCTTTCAAACAACTATTTTAAAATTTAAAGAACATTTCAAAAAAAGTATATATATTGTTCTTTGATTATACCAGATGTTCAAAATAAAGCGTTACAAATTTTTATCTCGGAAACACGCATTATTGAGAAAAATTGTTCAAACAAAAGTTGTAGAGTTCAAAAAGGTCTATTTACTGATATTATCAGTTTGATCTTGAGTAGTGTCCAAGATCAAGTTTCGGCCGCCGAAGCGCGATCGCACACGGACATGGGCTCGTACCTTTGCATGGCCCGTATTCAGAACACGCTTTTATCGATAAAAGCGCGCTTTTATCTCTAAAATTCTATAATATGCGTAAGTATAGTATGTTAAAAATTAATAAAAATAACACAAGTGTGTAGATTATTGCCACAATGAATTGCATAATATTACTTTAATGTTGCATAAAATAAAACATATGATAAAACATACGTTAATTCACAAGGACTCTTTACTGATCAAAAGAAATTAAGTGAAAAACAGGCAAATAGAAGTCAGGCGCGGTAATCGTTGCGTAAAATAATATATAAATGTAACACAAAATCCTTTATTAAATTAATGCGCTTACATGTTTCGGTAACATCGTAAGCACGTTCTCAATACGTATGTGTACGACGGCGGCTCGACCGCCGTTTGTCGCAGTATTCATTCCATATGCCATAAAATGCCGTAATGGAAATGGTACTATTGGGCAAGAAATAAGAACAGAAAATAGAAACAGGAACAGAGAAAGTACAAGAATTTCAATCAATTAGAAACGATGCACTATAGAATACACAGTTCCTGATAGGTTGAAATTCTTATTCTGTTCCTATTCCTTGACTGTGCGTATCTCCTTAAGGGGATGCTAAACCGATTACCCAACTCAATCAAGGTCGATAGTACAGACTCTTTTAATTCCAAATTCGATAATAGCGGTGACATCTTTGATTTAGTTTTTACATTATATTATATAATATATATCATTCTGTCTTACTCAAACGCATACGTCTGTTTTTATCTAACATATGCCAGCACCATCTATCGCAAGACCGCGCAACTACTGCTACGCGGAATTTCGGCTCTGTTGACAGTCCCAGTCTTCGCAAAGCATCAGTATACACGTATTTTCTATTCGGTGGAAATATTGCTTTTCTAGACTTTCAATCTTAGTTCTACAAACTCAGTATCGTTCGTTTCAATAATGTGACCTCAGCTGCACGCTTATTTTCAAGATATGGACTCTAAAACTCTTATATCAAGCAAATACATATCTGAGGTAACAGCTGTACGAGCCAAAAGTAAGTGAATTTTTAATTTTTTTTTCGATTTTCTCATAAAATCCAGTGCAGCTGAGGTCCTGTTGATGCGTACTATAATTTAAGTAATAATACTTTTGCAATCCGTACATCCAATACAGAGATTTTTCACCGAATAGGAATGTGGTAAAACAGGGAGCTTTAGCATCGCCTTAAAGTCCTAATTTAAAAAATTCCAATCACTATTGGTACGTTTCCACTGAGCGCGTCACGCGTCGCGTCGTCCATCGCGTCACGACGCGACGCGAAAGAGAGAAAGAGTGAAGTTTATATATGTACATAACCCCTCTCTTTCTCTCTTTCGCGTCGCGTCGTGACGCGATGCGTGACGCGCTCAGTGTGGAAACGTACCATAATAAAGATCCGCTATGTCAACGCATCTTTGACACTTGTGCATCATTCGCAATTGCCCCGGAATCGTTGAAAGGGTTCACCAAGTGTAACTGAATCAAATGGGATACACTTCGAACATTTGTTATAATTAAAAATTGAAAATAAATAATATAAAATAATAATAAATATTACTTTTATAAATATTATTTTTATTTTTACCTATAATAAACATTTTGAGCTGTATCTCAGCAACAGTGAGTTTGCAGACAAATGTCCATATAAATTTTTTTTTATGCTTAGTGCTGCAGGGAACTCGAACCGAAATTTGTGACATTTTAGTTAAATTCTGTATATGCTCTAAAATAAATATTATGCGCACACAAGATATTTTGAAAAGAACTTTCTGTTTGAAAATGATTGAAAATTACTAGTACAAATTATAGCTTTACTTTGTGTTTATTATGTATTCGTTAAGTAAAAAGTATTTTATATAGTTAAAAACAACAAAAAATATTTTTATAAAGAAGGAGGTCTGTGTACCAATATTACATCATATATTATAATAATATTAATATATACATACTTGTATTTCTAAGAAATTTGCCAACATAATGATCGCAAGATCCAACGTAGTAGAGATAGTGTCAGAAGACTGTGTAATTAAAAATATAATTTATTATCCATTTATGAATAGTTATACAAAATATGTCGTTACATACCGTTCCTAGCATTGTAACTATATTGTCCATAATTTCCTTTCGCGTAAACTTTTTGTTATGAGATGAATGCGTTAAAATGTCAAAAAATCGTATATCTATATTGCACACAGAAAACGATATGTGTATTACTTATGTATATATAAATATTCAACTTTATGTATATTTTAATTTAAAAGTACAATCTTAAAATTATAAATCTTAAAGTAAATCTTCCAATTTTAAAAACAATATATAACAAATATAAATTTAATCAAAAGCAAATGAGAATACAGAGCGATTAACAAAGTGCAAGTATAATGCTAATTCTACAATGAATCGGTCGTCTTAAATCTTATTGGTGAATCGATGAAATTGGCCAATAGCCAACTTATACGAATTAAGAGTGTAAACACAATAAAAGCAATAAGGAATTAGGAATATGGAATAAGAAATTTCAACCTATCAGAAATCGAAATTATATAGTTTCTGATAGGTTGAAATTTCTTATTCCTTATTCCTAATTCCTTATTCCTTCTATTAATTGTGTCTGCACCCTTAAGGTGCCTTTTCATACCCCGTATAGTCAAATGTTAGCAATTTGGGGCCAAATTGGCAGCAAATTCGGTCAGATTTTGACTACAAAACTATATCTGTGTCCGGATTTAGCTATGGATTTGTCGACAAAGCCTGTTGACAGGCTATGGCCAGCAGATTGAGGCAGAAACTTGAGCAGAGTTTACTCGAATCAGGTTCTATTCTCAATCTGTCTTCAAATTATGCAGAACTTTGTTTGGTTTCTGCTACCAATCTGCTGATATAGCATGTCTAGCAGACTTTGTCATATTACAGCAATTAATTTGCTGACAATGTCAGATAATACAAAGTGTATAATTTGTTGCCTTTTTGCAATCAAAAATTAGTAGCTCAGCAAAATCTGTCTCTGTAGGCTTTGCTATCAGGAGAGTCGTTCGTACTAGCGGTTTCAGCGAAAAAAAGGATCACCCAGATAGCCAGCCGTGCAAAAGTTACAGCTAAACAAGCTATGATTTTTATAGTTTAGATCTCGTACAGGTATTGTGCAAGTCAATGTTGTCAGATTTTAATTAATACTTCAAATTATATTACAGTGCTAGCATTAAAACAAAACTGCGTGCTATAATTTGGAATTGCTATAACTTGGAATTGCACGGCGTTTTTACGCGTGACTAGTTTCATGCAGAAATATTCAATATATCTCATTTTCAAACAGTACACAATACACAGTACACAGCGAAGTTAAGTTACGCGTATTTAAAAAACCACATCGAATTGGATAAAAGGCGCACTATGATGAGAAATTCTCAGCAAAAAATTTTTATCCTTTTTTTAAGTTCTTCTAGATCATCCAATTAAATTCTGTTGTCAAAAGACTCAACATCTAAAAGTCTAAATGGATGATCTAGAAGAATATACTGATAACAGCAAGCGTTCACCCAACTGTTGAGTCTGCTAAATGCAACCAATGATGATGATGATGTCTTAATGAGTTCCCATAATTAGCTTCAAGATGATTAAATTAATAAAAATTTTGCACGCCGTAACAAGATCGTGCGTGTAGAATGCCGCTTCAAAAAGATGAAATTTTTATAGTTCATCGTGCCGTCAATGTGCTGCTATAACGTAACGCAACGTCGTTCTGGCATCGTGCTATCAACGTGTTGTTTACATGATTTGTTTCATGTGACTTTACGAATTTCAACACATGATGTCTCACATGAATGTAACATGCGTGCATAATGTAACGTTTCAGAGCTTCACGACTCCGCAACGTACAGTTACTGTGCCGTATAAATGCGGGGTGATCCCGATTGATCACGGCTCGATTGGACACCACCAATCACAGCGACCAGGTGCCTAGAAGCTTTGTAGTCTCAAGCGCTGTGAGTGGCTCGTGTCTAATTGAGCCGTGTCCAATTGGGTGCCACCCTCCATCAATTTCTATTTCCTTGGACATTGCGGCGGAATACGTTCCAAAACCTCAAAATAAATTCAACCTAAAGAAGGTAGATTAATCTAAATTTAACGAATTCTGGGAGGCTAATATTTATTCCTTCAATTCTATCCACTTTCTTAACTCTCATGTTTGCGACAAATATTCTTTTCTAATCAGTTTAATTAATGAAAGCTTAGAGGTTTCCTTACCTAAGAAAAAGATCAATAAAGGAATCGATCAGAACAAATTTAACTAGAGTAAAAAAAGAATTCCTGCATTGTGGTGAAACAAAGAGTGCGAAAGAACAATAAGAATTAGAAAAGCTAAATGGCTTTCTCTTCAATATAAATTTAGTAGAGATGAATTTTTAGAGTATAAAAAAACGGAAGCTCAGACCAAGATAATTTTAAAAAATGAAAAAAAGAAATCCTTTAAATTTTGCGAATCTTTAAATCGTAACGGTAAAAGCAGTTACGTTTTTAATAAAATCAAACGTTTCAATAACAAATTAACGAAAACTAGCTCTTTCGAAGATAACAAAATTGTTATTAATGCTATGACAAATTGCATTGAGGAGATTGAGTGCCTTTCGATTCAGTTGAGATTAGATTGAGCATTTAGTGCCTTTCGATTATGTTGAATTCTCTATTACTCTAGTCAAGGTTAACCAAAATGCAGCACCTGGTTTGGATAAGATCAACTATAAAATTATAAACGCACTTTCAGAATTCGTTAAAAGAACCCCCCCTAGACATTTATAATCATAGGATAGAATTAAAGGAATAACGATGTTCTGTGTTTAGGAGATTTTCCTGAGGAATGGAGTAACTATCTATGCTATTTTATTCTAAAAGCAAATAGTAACAAAGTCAGACCAATTTGCATATTTTCCTGCTTTCTTAAGCTCCTTGAGAGAATGATAAATGACAGGCTAATCTGGTGGCTTGAATATAATCAACTAATCAACAACTCCCAATTTGGGTTTAGAATGAATAGATCTAGTATTGACAGCCTTGCCTTGTTAATATTGGAAATCGAAAAACAATTTTATAAAAAGAATCCCTTGACTGCAGTATTCTAAGATATAAAGGGTGCCTATGTCAACATAGATCCCGAAAGCCTGTTAAATGATCTTCTGGACTTAAAATTACCTAAAAACTTAATAGTTTTTATATACATATAACTTAATATCAGTGAGACAAATTCAGTTTATAAATTGCCCTCGGAATATTAGCCGCTCCATCTTCAAAGGTCTCCCTCAAGGTAGCATTTTAAGTCCCACTCTTTTTACAATACATATTAATAAATTGGATATTAATAAGTTGGTTGCACCTAAAGTTAAGATCCTTAAATTCGCGGATGATTTGGCATTATACACATCTAGCACTCAGATCGATGAAAGTCTTAATGTGTTGGAGGAACAAGTTAACATTCTGTCTGTCAAGCTTGCGAATCAAAATCTACATCTATCATCGGAGAAACGTAATTTAGTTATCTTTAATAAGTCCAATATGCCAACAAATAATTTACAAATTAAAATAGATAACATTACCGTTAAGCCATCCTCCCATGTCAAATTTCTCGGAGTAATTTTGGACAAGTGTCTTAATTGGAACCTCCATATAGCTCATGTTATTAAAAAATGTGACATCCCGATTAGAATTCTTTGCTGTATTAGAAGATCTTGATAGGGAGCCGAACCTATTACTATGCTTATTCTGTATAAGACTTTAATCAGAGCCAAAATAGAATTCGGAGGCTTCTTAATTTCATCGTGCAGAGTTACAGCGTTCTATAATCTAGAAAAAATCCAATTGAGATGTTTGGAACTTGTTCTGGAATGCATAAAGTTCACTCCTACTAACATCATTGTTAGTGAAGCTAAAGTATAAACGTTATCCTATAGATTCGCATTTTTCAGTTATAAATTTCTTCTCAGGAGCTTTGCACGAGAAAATCTATTGTTATTGGAAGAGATTAATAATTTGTCTAGTCATTTTATTTATGAAAATAATTTCGGTAAGGCTCTGTTAGTTCTTATGAAGAAATAATTCATTATGCAAATTTCATGTTCAAGACTCTCCTAAGTTCTATTTACTCGACTTTAAATACCAACTAAACACAATTAATATTGATTTAATGAGTGTTTCAATCAAGGAGGCTGAGAATGCCAGTAGCGAGTTCTTGCAAATGTTCCAAGATAAAATAAACAAGAATACAGTGATCTATACAGATGGTTCTAGAGCGGGGAGCGAGGCTGGCTGGTCTGTGGGTATGGCAAATTGGTGTTGTAACGACTTTTTCAAAGCCAGGTTTAAACTTTTCGATATTACATCAATATATTCAGCACAAGCCATAGCCTTACTTATGACTATTAAACGTATTAGTAGTTCTGTTTTAAATGACCTTTTAATTTTCTCTGGTTCTAAAAGTGTGCTCAGTTCTCTCCTAAATATGAAGAAATTGAAACACCAATCATACTTAATCCAAGAAATAAATCAACTTTTATTCGAATGTAAGGAAAAAAATAAAAATATAGAACTGGCTTGGATTCCGGCTCATAATATCGAAGGTAACGATAATGCGGATGAATTAGCCAAGAAACCCGCCGTAGAAGGCCCGCTTCTTGAAGTAGAGGTCCTCCACTCTGACTTAGTTTGTATTTTCAGAGATAAATGTATAAAAGACAACGACAAATTCTTGAATCATAGAGCAAGTTCCTTCAATAAAGGTACCTTTTATTTTAAGAACTAAAATTACCTCTATCTATCATAAATGTTTTTAAAAATAATAATTTTTTCAAAGAGTTCTAAAAATTGTTGCCGACATACACTTTGAAGGGTGAAATCAGACTTCATGTGTAAAGCGATTTTGAGCTTTCTCCTCTATATCTTGAAAAATATTCAAGATATAAAAATATGTTTCAGATCAAAGTTTTACAACAAAATTACCTCTATTTATACACGCCAACGATATTTTTTGAAAATAATTATTTCACAATTTCTTTTCAAAAATTTAAAATAATAATTTTTTTTTTTAATATTATTGACGCGAATGAATACAGTTAATAATTACCTTATTATATTCTACGTTATCGTTTTTACCCATTTTATTTCGCATATTTTTATATTGTTCTAGACTCTT